CTGTGATGTGGTTTGATGATGCTCTTGCCCCAGGCCCTTCTTGTAAGCCTATTACAGGGTCCACATGAACGAGGTCCTGGAAACCCTCCGCCTTGGCTGCTCACTTGTAGTTCCCTGATATAGGGAATCAGAATCCAGCTTTTTTTTTCTATTTGGGTTTAGAATATGAAAGGTTAAAAAAATTGAGGTTTTGGGGAAATTTATTTTCATATGCTGTTTTATTTCCAATCTTTGTTATTATAATGTCCTCCTCTTGCTTACTGTGGCCTAAAGTACATACATTTTAATTGTCTGCTTAGCTTAGCTATTTTTGCCGCTAAACTGATATTTTTGCCATTAAGGGAATTTTCCCTTGTAGTCATCGTGTTTTAAAATTTCTTAACAGCTCTATTGAGGTGCAATTGCGTGCCATAAAATTAACCCACTGTATATACATCTCAATGATTTTAAGAACTGTGTGCAACCATCACCACAATCCAGGTTTAAAACTAGGAAAATTTCCCACCCACACGTTCCCACATGTGCTTATGGCTTTTATATTGCTCTGTCCACTTGGCACTAAATGGCCCTTGAATGAAGCTTACATTTTACAAAAAGGCCCCCCCCTTTTTTTCTTAGTCTAAGTCCTTACTTTCTATTTTTCTTTTATATGAAAAAGTATAAAAGATGTATAGTTCAGGCCAAACATCTAATTCAACAGTTTCCATTTTCTTTTTCCAAAGGGATAGCACTGTAACACTGTCCTCCCATTGTTCATAGATTTTGCTTGAACGGGTACCAGTATCGTCTCCATTGTGAGACTTGTTGTTACTGTTTTTGGCATATCGAATATGCCACAGGGAGCTTGCCAGGCTCTGCCGTGCAGTCGGGATACTCTCGGTAGCTTGCCGGACTCTCTGAGAGGGATGGAGGAATCGAACCCAGGTCAGCTATGTGCAAGGCAAACGCCCTACCCACTGTGCTATTGCTCCAGCCCAAAGGGATAAATTATTCAAAGGGATAAATTCTGCTAATTGCTTTTCCCACTTCTTAAAGATCATGCCCCCCCTTGCCCCATGAACGACCACCACCCCATGAATTAGTTTCCCTTCATGCCATGGTGCTCAATGGTTTATTACAGCTTCCTTGGGGCCGGTGCAGTAGACATTATACATTCTTCCCCCGTGCATTGTTCCCTCTGCCTGACTTCTTTAACTTTTCCAGATTTACCCTCTATTCTTTTCCCTTTTTCACCTCCATCCTACCCAAAGCCATACCGTAATCCTAGAGGGCGGATTGCCATTGACCATGATCAGTGGGAAGTAGTTCCTATTGTGCTCACTCCTGATTTCCTGGTTTCCCATTCTTAGTGGACCAATCAAATGCTTTGAGTTGTTCCGTGACACCAGATCACCCACGTGGCTTCACTTCCCCTTTTCCACCAGGTTCACTGCCTGCATCTCGGGCTGGCTTGCCCAGATTACCTCCTGCTGGAACCCCAGGGACACCAAGGGTTTGCCCTCCCTCCGATCTGCTCTCCCTGCTAGCAAGCACGCTGACTTGTCAGCTACTCCGGCCTCACGGTTTTTTTCCACCTTCCCTCGAATAACCCAGCCCGTAAGGCACAGCCCAGCTGCCAGCCCTTGCTAGAATCTGGCACTGCCTGGCCTCTCCCGAGTGCTGCTGGTGCTGAGTCCTCCCGCATCCAGAGCCCTTCCATCAGGTGCCCTTGCCCCAATGCCACATCTGGAAGCTTCCTTCACATACACACACCCTGACCTCCACTTCTTCCCCTTGACTGAAATAAGATATCTTTCAGACTTAACTGGGAAGTCTCTTCCTCGGGAAAACCTTTCCACCGTGGACAGAGGAGGGTGTTTGTCACAGGATGTGCCAGAGTCTGGTGGCTTTTCTTTGCATCTGTGCTCAGCCGGTCTGTGATGATGACAGCATTTCTTTCTGGTGATCTCTGAATTTTCTCTTTGCTAATATCTGAATTTCCTGGGAGGGCAGGGTCTGTGCCTGGATCACCATCTCCTCCAGCCCCTGGTGGGGTGTCTCTCTCTGTGGACACAAATGCTGTGAGACAGCAGAGGGTTGTATGTCCATGTTTGTATGTCCAGGACCTCCACAAGTCATGTCCACATTGGCACCCGTATGGTCTGCGGCGTGCACTTCCTTCAGGGCTGGGCAGTGCTTCCGCCTCTGTCAATCTGTGGTTTTCAAAAGCCCCTGGGAAATCTCATTTTGCTGAAGAGTCATCTGTTTCTTTCCTGTGCCTCGATTCAGAATGGCAAAGTGCTTCTTTATGCCGCATTTGGGGGTGATTTTATTCCACCCAAATGACCTGTCAACCAACTTCTTACTCAAAACCACTGCTTTGGGGCCGGAGTATAGTAGATAGGGAGCTTGAGGCATACCCAGGTTTGATTCCTGGCAACCCGTAGGAGTCCCTAACCCCACCAGGAGTGATCCCTGAGTGCAGAGACAAGAGTAAGCCCTGAGCACTGCTAGATGTGCCCCCTGCCAAAATAATATAATAATAATAATAATAAACTTGCTTCTCATCACCTAAACAATTTTTTCCCATTAGGCTGCTAAGGAAGGCTTTTAAGAAACTGAGCAGAACTTTCAAATCCACCAGCCTGCTGTTTTCCTTTGTTTCTCTCCTACGCAAAGGATCTCTTCTGTGCTCAGCCACTGTATCATGCTAAATGTGGCTCCCAGAATTCCTTCCCCCCGAAACATACCCCACGCCAGGGGATTCTACCCCCTCCCTTAACCCCCAGCCTTCCTTTCTTATTGCCCTAGGCAGGTATTTGTGTGTGTGTGTGTGTATATATATAACCATTTTTTCCTGATAAGGTCTCAAGCCTTCCAAGAATGCAGCCTATTCTCATCAATTTTTCTGTTTCATACATCGTTAACAGTGAAAAACAAGAAATAAAATATAACATTTCATTATTTCATTTATGGGGGGATGACTTTGAGGCGCACACCTGGCTGCGCTCAGGGCTTACTCCTAGACCTGGATCTGTGCTCAGGAATTACTCCTGGTGATGCTTGGGGGACTATATGTCGTGCCAGGGATGAAAACAGCGTCCACTGCATGCAAGGCAAGTGCCTTAACCTCTGCACTATCTCTCAGGTCCCAATATAGCATTAAAAATACAAACAATTCTATTGCAGCCCAACCTTAAAAATGGTATAGAGGTTGTAGAGATAGCATTAAAAATGATAATATAAAATTTTCTTTCTTTTCCCATCTCTTTTATTCTTTCATGTATTATATATAGGGATTATATTTTAATAATCTATATACAGTTGTTCTATTTATTATGTGTAATAATAGGACTCTTATGATATATATTCTCCACAAATACTTAAATTTTTCTAAATAGTCACAATATGCTGTTTTACTATATATTTTCTTTTTAATGCAGATTTTATTTTCCAATTTTTTTATTGTTACAGTGACTTTTGTGGCTTTTTTTATGTTTGGTGAGTTTGTGTGTGTGCTTATATATCTGGGAGCATTTTAGAAATTTTAGAGAATGTTGGCGAAAATAAAATATTCCACCTCAAAATAAAATACCAAACAGGAAGTTCCCCAAATAAGTACTCAGTGCTTTTCAACATGGTGTGCTTTCAAGCAAAGCGTGAGTTTGTCTAAACCCACAGCTGGCTGGGGAGTGCTAAGTGTCTGTCTGGCTGGATAGGCCAGTGTGTTCCCCGAGGTCCCACGCCATGGTTAATGGTGAGATGGCAATTCTCACTTCCTCATACTCACTTTCTCTGCGCTAAATACTGTCGAGCTGAGTGTTGTGTGTTAATTCTGCATCTGAATTTGTCTGCCTGAAGTTGTTTGCTTCTTTTACAGCTGATTCCCTCCCCCTCATCACTAACCCCCTGCCCCCACCCACGGCTCTTGAACTCTGTACCCCAAGGATGCCTCCAGCTGACAAAAGTGAAGGCAGGAACCTCTCACCTCCTCTCAGTGCTTACCCAGTAGCTGAGATACATCTGCAGTTTGCTGGTTGCTCTGGGCTCTGCTGTGAGCCTCACGCCTGCCCTGCTGGCTACCCCTCCCCCACACTCCTCGGCTCCCTGACTCCATTTCCACCTCACTTCCTTCCATCAGGCCCAGGGAGTTGACAGGCTCCCTGGGAACCCTCCAGTCCGCACCTGCCTGAGCATCTGGCTCAGGTGAGCAGCTGAGACACAGTACACATATTTGGTGTCATCAGTTACCATCAGTCATCAGCCATCAGCTGCAGAGGACACCAGAGAGAGGCAGTGGGTGGGTGACCTGTTCCCCAGAGACCTCCCACCACCCCCAGGCAATCATCAGAATCGTGACACCCACCCAGAGAGCTTTGGGGAGGGCTCTATTTTCATGCCATTTTTTGAGACATGAGGTTATGTGTATGAAACAGGTCGTGTGTATGAACTAGACAATCCTCCCCGGGAACGAACACCATGCTCAGGAGCACGGGCTGAGCCACAGAGGGTAAACTGAGATCTGGGGGTCATTCCTCTGGCTTGGTAACCTTCTCTAGGACATGTTGGCTGACAAGACTGTGCCTCTTAGCCATTAATAAAGAAAAACTTTTTATTTATTTTATTTTTGCTTTTTTGGGTCACACCCAGCGATGCACAGGTATTATTCCTGGTTCATGCACTCAGGAACTAGTCCTGGCCGTGCTTGGGGGACCACATGGGATGCTGGGAATCAAACCCAGGTTGGCCGCGTGCAAGGCAAACGCCCTATCCGCTGTGCTATCATTCCAACCCCAAGAAAAACTTCTTAATGCTGCCTCCTAGGTGATCTGGAAGGGTTTCCATTGCCAAGGAAATTGCTTCAAGTGTCAAAGCCCAGGAGTGGGTCTCGTTTCTTCAGGGAAGAATGATTTTCTGCCCCTGTGTGTGCATTCTGTCTCTGCTTGTACTAAACTAGGGCCCCTGCTAACAGTCTGTACCTTGTGTTCACACCTGCTTCTCTGTTTGTCTCTTGCTTGTAGCCCTGGAGAGGAAAATATCAATGAGGCAAAGCAGGGAGGAGCTGATAAAGCGGGGAGTCTTGAAGGAAATCTATGATAAAGGTAAGGGGAGCACACCCCTCCCCAGGGCGCCACCAGAGCCTTGTGGGATCTTGGTTGCGAATCTCTCCGAGGTCAATTCCGCCTTCTAGACCAAGAATGGAACCTTGGCAACTCTGGATAATTCTGGAGAGAGAGAAGGGAATGTAGGAAACAGCTCAAGCTTTCTGCCCGACAGGGGAGAGAATTAAAGCCCCCTTGGGGGCAGCGCCAGATTGGAAGTGGACCTCGACCAGAGGATGGTAAGAAGATCGCTGTGGTCCAGGAATCTGTGGCTGAGAGCTGTTGGCATTCCAATGTGTACCACTGGAGAGAACCGAATTGCTTAGGTGCTTTCAGGACTGGGGTTTCCTAAAGCACATGTGAAATGCCACAAATATCTAACTAACATTTCCATAACTGACAGTTTTGGCAATGTCTCTCCCCATGGTAGGAAAAAATTAGAGTGGAGAAAATTCCAACATCTACCTGTACACATAGATATTCTCCAGGATAATATTTACACAATTCAGATGCTTTATGTATATGTCCGTAAGCATTTGCCAATGACTTCTACTGTGTTGAATTATTGAATTCTGTCTATGAATTACTGTGTTGTATTCTGTCTATGAATTGCTGTGTTGAATTCTGTCTATGAATCTCCTGTGTTGCATTATTGAATTTCTGCCTTTCAGTATGGATGTAGGTCATGAGTGACAGAGTGCGGTAAGTATTTCTCACTCCTCTTTACTGAGAGCTCTGCGGTTTTGTTTTGGTTTGTTTGGGGTTTTTTTTTTGGGGGGGGGAGAGAATCACACCTGGTGTTGCTCCAGGCTTACTCCTGGTTCTGTGCTCATGGAACCAGATAAGGTGCCAGAGTTTGAACCCAGGTTGACCACATGCAAGGCAAACACCTGATCCACTGTACTATCTCTCCAGCCAAGCTCTGCTACTGTAAACCATGCTCTGTTTGTCTTCTCTTCCTCCCCCTGCAGAAACCCTCCTCACCCCTATCTAACCCTCACCCCACAGACCCCACACACCCTCTAAATGCTTTAAGTGTACTGACAGACTTTAATTCTAGGGCAGGTTCTGTCTATTCTCTCTCTCTCTCTCTCTCTCTCTCTCTCTCTCTCTCTCTCTGTCTCTCTCTTTCTCTCCCCATCTCTATCTCTCTGTTTTTCTTTCTCTCACTCACTCTCTCTCACACACATCTTGTTACTTTGGGCCAGTGTCAGTGTTATCAGGGTAACTACATTATTAAATCTATATTCTATCTTCAGGGTCCATATTGCTGGGTGCAATGGTCTAGGCTGGTTTTGTGCCCATTTTATGCTTGTGGGTTTGATTGGCAGTTCCCCCTGTGTCCATTGCCGCTCCTCAGCTCCTTTCTCCCACCTCCTGGCCTGTTCAGGTCACTGCCACATTGGGAAGCAATTTATCTGGGCACAGCTGTCACCTTGCACAATCATGTATAGAGAGGGTGCTACCTCACTGGCCCTGTCCTATGACATGGCTGAGGGGTGTTGTCCCATTTCTCCCCAAAGCTGTCATTATCTGAGTCCAAGGAATAGCCATAAAAACCTGCTTCATCCTGCTCCTCATGTGGAAGACCATTCCAGACTTCTTTGGTTGATTAAGCTCTCCAGGGAAAAGGATTGGACAGTTTTGACACTTTTCTCCCAATGGCTTGTTTTATGGTCAGTCCCCCCCATGCCCTCCCCTTTCCTGACCTTAACTCCCCTTGTTCTATCACAAGCTGCTTTACCTTCTTCATTTACAGCATCTTTCAACTTCAGCAATATTTCTACAGTCTAGCATTGAGCACCTAAATAAGGAGAATTGTCACAGCTAAATCCCATTTCAATGTGGTTAAATGACCTCTTTCCTCAGCTTCTTTCTTCCTGCAACCTTTATATGTTTTGCTGCAAAACTTCAGGAATACTCTAGAGAAGAGGTTCTGCTCTGGCATTTATTAGTTCCATTATATAAAAGAGCTGGGTTAAGGAGAATATCACCGGGTAACTCCCTGACTGAACCAGAGAAGTCATTGATTGTTGGAGCAGAAGCATCCATTTACAGAGAAGGAAAACGTTAAACATTTCATGTTTGGATGGTGATCAGAACAGAAAAGAGAGGGACTAGGATTCGGAACTTGGAGCATAGTAGCTGGAGAACAACGTGCTGGCTGGGTCTTCCTGAGGAGAGCGGTGTCCACTCTCTCCTGATATCCCAGGATACCAGCCCCAAGGAGCCTGGGCCAGGCAGCCATTATTCAGATTCCAGCTGGGCTTCTTTCACTGGCTTCCTTCACTGCTCTGTGACTCCATCTTTAACCTGAAAGTGTGGGTGACATCGCCATCACGAACGTCCCATAACTTAACACACGTGGGTCATCAGCCAGCACTGCCAACACAAAATACCATGGAAAGCACAGGTGTGTATTTCCTCTCACTGCTGAAAGCTCAAGGTAGGACAGGATTGACTGAGGGCATCCTTGTGGTGTTCTTCTGTGAATCACACCCCTTAAATCTCTGTGATGCAAAACAACAATCCCAGGGGATTAGGGCCCCGCCCTTAAGGTTTCACATAATCTCAGTTAATCTCCTTAATGACCCTTCCCCCAAATCAGGTCATGCTGCATGTTTGAATCTCAACCTCTCATCCTGAGGGCATCCTGATTCTGCCCCTAATGACATGTGGCCATCACCCCAGACCCCCTTCTCTGAGAACGTTTACATGCCAGGAGTTGTCATCATTGGTCACCTTCTTGCGTTCTAGGTCTTGAGAAACTTCCCCCACCAATATCACCACCACTTTATTTAAACCCTGTGGTTTACAAAGTTGTTCATAATGATTTGTTACAGGCATTCAGTATTCAACACCAATCCCACCAGCACCGTCACCTTCCTTCTACAATTGTTTCTGTTTTCTCAATCACCCCTCAAGCCTGCCCCCACAGCAGACCCACAATAATTTATTTTATATCATTTGTTACCCCCAAATGGCTATTGGAATGATTTTTAAAAAAATGTTTCCATAAAGGAAAAAAATTGTGAAAATTGTTATATCTCACCACAGGAACATTAAGTCTTTTCTTAAGATACTTTTCATGTGTCCCCAGGCCCAGGGGTTGGAAAGGAACTTTGGAGCCCTCCACAAAGTGTCTCCCTTTGGGGGAACATTGAGAGCCCTGGGAAGTCAAGCTGCCCTTTCCTCTCAGCCTCTGCCCCGTGTTAGTGTTTTCCTCTTTTCCTGTGACATCAAAACCTCTTGCTTTCGGCTGCTGGCCTATTGATGGGGAAGCTGAGTTCCACCATGGAGAGAATCTGAGAGAACAGCAAGAGGCTCTTGTGGCCTTTCAGGCAGGTTCAGAGATGAACGCCACAGGCAGGAGGCAATTCTCCAATATTGCCTGGTGTGTGATTTCTCATGTTGAACCCTCTCACATTGGCACACATGTCTCCTGCCACCTGGCAGAGGAATTTCTTCACCAGAATCACCCTGGCCCTGACCGCTGCCCGCTGATCAGTAATTACTGTCAGCCGGTGACCAGCACACAGCCCAGAGGACAGGCCACGGTTTACACTGCGGTGGTGCCTGCTGGCATGATATGGCTAATGTGGTAGAAAGCAGCTCGTCTTTGGTAGGTAAGCTTTTCCTTCTAGCTTCTTGACCTCACTGATTTGGTTAGTAATACCCTTAGATTCAAGGATTGTAGTGATTTGAGATTTATAAGAATGGGGCTGGGGAAAGTTCTGAGTTGATGAGGCTTAAGCACTCTGACCCTCTCTACTCTTTTTTATCACTTCACTACTGCAAGTCTGTGTGATAAATGACTGATCACGTGAACTTTTCCCATCAGTGTCTCCTTACTGAAGTAAACATGGGGTGGGAAGTGGGGGGAAATCTTAGTCACTGATGTTGCCCACATACCAACTACAGTACCTAGGATATAGTTGGAGCTCAGGACATACTCACAGGAAGAACAAATGCAAACCTGAGGCTTATCTCACATGTTCCTGTGACTCAGTATATTAATTGGTGTTGGCACAATTCAGAACAACAGGCATTCTGACTGGTCCCTTATTTATTCAGTTTTGTGATCCATGATTTTTTTCCCCACTTATAGTGGGTAAGGCATTTGCCTTCCACGCGGCTGACACGGTTGACCCTGATTTGATTCCTCTGCCCCTCTCAGAGAGGCCAGCAAGCTACCGAGAGTATCTTGACCGCAAGGCAAAAGCCTGGCAAGCTCCCCGTGACGTATTCAATATGCCAAAAACAGTAACAAGTCTCCCAAATTTGTTGTGAGATGTTACTGGTGCCCGCTCAAGCAAATCAATGAACAACGGGAGGGCAGTGCTACAGTGCTACTTAAATGACAATAAATAAGATGCTAAATATTTTACTTTCAAGTATGTCGTTGAAGCATCTTAGAGAAAAGCACCCTGCAAAGAATGAACTCTCTGGCCATTACAAAATGGGTGATATTCCTCCACATTAGCAAGGGCACTTGGTTGAGGTCACCTGGCCGAGCTCCTTGTCACCTTACCAGTGTGGTATTGAAACAAGCTCAGGGAGATTAGCCACTTGCCTAAGGACATCTGGCAAATAAGTGTGTCACCTAACCCCCTTGCTGAGATCTTCTGTCTTTCATAGGGAGTTGATAGGAAGCAGGAGAACTTTGTCATAGGTTGTGTATTGATAGTCGGAAGATAATAAATATTGCTACCAGGGCTTATTTTTTAAAAATGATCTCTACATATCAACCCATGCTGTACCTAAAGAACATAGGGAAATACATGGTGCTTTTGCTGGCTTTTGTCCCTGGATTTCCCCCATGAAACCTCTGTGCTATATTGCAATGCCCATTGCTGCTGTGGTTAGCCAGAATCAGCTTAGTCCACATGGAAAAAAACACCTCCAAGGAAGGGAGAGAAGGAAAAAGAAACCATCCCTTTTTGCAGAGTGGGTTGACTTGTGTATGTGACATAATGCTACAGCTGAGTGGAAGTCTGAAC